TCCTTAGTATTTCTTTTATTCGGTATCAACCTTTCCAAAAGCAGTGGAGAGAAACCTACTGTGAATGAGCAGCTTAGGTTCAGTTTGAGAGTTTCTTGTCGTTGTAGTGGAGCGATTGCCAAAATACTTCTTTCACAGATATGCTAAAGTATCTATGTTTTAAAAGAATTTAGCAAAGGTGAAGGGAGGTGTGTAGTTTATTTGTCATTTCAATTGTGTGTTGTATGTTTTAGAATAACAGACTGATTGAAACTTTTTCTGGATTTTTTTTGAAAAAGCCCTTAACCTGCATTTACCTTGAACGGGTGGAAATACAAGGGCTGTTGTTAATTTCTGGGCACTATTGCCCTGAATGTTTTTCAAATCAATGCCTTTTATTGTGCATAAGTAAAGGTAAGAGGTTGAGGTGGCTGGGCTTGTGGAGTCTGGGGAGTGATCTGATAGTACTTTACAGCTACTTCAAGGGCCATTGCAAGGACAGTGGACCCAGACTCCTCTCAGTTGCAGCAGACAGTGTAAAAGAAGGGCAAAAGCCAGAACTTGCAGCTTCGGTGGGCTCTGGTTGGGTATTGGGGAGAACTTGTTCCCCAGGCGGGTGGTGCAGCCCTGGGAGGTGTCCTGGTGGCCTCTCCCTGTTTGTCTTTCTGCCGCTGAATTTAACTAGAAATCATCTGGTAGCGCTGAGCAAAGCTTTTTGGTAGCCACTGTGCGCGTGCCTTCCAGAGCGCTTAAATAAATACCAGCATGGCCAGCATGGGCCTGTACGTGAGGGGAAGGAGCCATACGGGCGATGTCTCAGGATCCAGCACGCTTACACACTGCTGGACTCTGACTCTGTTGAAAATGGAGATCACCTGAGCCGTTGGGCAGGTAGTTTAGCCTCTGTAGGGGAAGAGGGCGAGCGGCAAGGTTGTGTTCTCGAGGAACTCGACTTGAGAATGCCGTCTATGGAAGAGCCCCCTCCTAGACCCTGTCCCTGACAAGCAGCTTGCTTAAGGCACCCTCCATGGTGCGAGCTGTCTGGAGACCTTGGAAAGGACTCACTGCTCTTGACAAGCTGTTTCTCCATCCCTGTGCTTGGCGTATGGCAGCTGCTCTCAGCGCTGACGCTGGGAGGTCTGAGGCCTTCTGTAAAAGCTCCGAGTTCATCTACTGGCTCTGGTTTTCCCAGGCTGTCCATCAAATATGGCTTTGTTGAGCCTCAGGTGGGGCTCTTGTTCTGGTCCAGATTTTTTGCTCTGAAACCATTCAAGTGCTGAGGACTGGGATATTTCAAAAGCATCACGTTTCTCGTTGGGCTTCCTGGGGAGGGACTGCAGCCATGCAAGACCTGTTGGGGAGCTCAGTCTTCCTTTGGCATGCTCTCTATGGGACAGGAGGACAATTTCTTTGAGCTGCCTATGCTTCTGGAAGGACTACCCACATTTGCCTTCCATCTGAAATACTGCTTAGCGGCACTTGTTTGGTTTGTTTTGTTTTGTTTTAAAAAAAAAAGTGTGTGTGTGAGTAACTGAGTGCTAGTATGCAGTGAATAATCTTCTCCTGCTTAGAGTAAATGGTTTCATAATTAAAAATATCCATTCAGCGTTACAAAAATTGGTTCCCTTAAAGATTCAAGTGCTTGCTGATGGATTCCTGGCTGACAAAATTGCCCTCCCAGCTTGCTTAAATATTAAATCCTCTTTAAAGTGGCATTCAGATGACCTAGTGTGATTTCTTCCAATGAATCATAATTGTCTAAAGCATGTATTTTTGTTCTTAAAATCTAGGATCGGAAGTTCGTAGAAACATCTTCTGTGTCTGGTTTAAAAGAGTTAAAGCTATTGTCGTGTCAGGTTGAGAGCCTGTAATGTAATTTTTTTCCTCTTTCAGGTCTTTGTACATCTTAATGACATTCACTCTGTGGTGGGGATTCCTCTTTTCAGGCAGGCATTCTGCTCACCAGACTTGTCTTGGCAGTATCAGAACAGGCATAACTTCTTCTAAATAGTCTTGCTGTCCACTGTGAGTATTTATCTTCTGGTTGAATATTCACAGGACTGTCACATTAGTCTTGTGGTCTGTCTGGAGCTTACCTGAGCATGTAGGCCAGACTGTGCAGTGAGTTATGGATAAAAGCAGACTGTGGTTTCTGTCTGTCTGTCTGCAGATCTGTCCAGTTCATTTGTTCTTTCATTTTACATGGGCTTTTCTGGGTGGTTGTACCATTATCTTAGGTTGATTTTTTTGCTGTCTGCAGGCTTCCGTTGGCAAACAGAGAGTATATCAAAACAGCAGGACTGCGGTCAACAATTGCGTGGGCCATGGCATCTCTGGCTGAAATCAGTGTAAGCGAACGTTCGTGGCAAAGATGTAGAGTCCTGAATGAAGCGGGGGGGGGTTGCTGCTCGTCAGAGATGGAGCTGGAAGCTTTGAAGAGGTGTGGTGATTTCAATGCTCCATGCTCTAATGCATGTGGACGGGGTTTGCCTTATCTGTGATCAGAGTGCACTGTCACCTGCTGTTCAACCAGGTACCTGCTGTAATCCCAGCAGAGGTCCTTCTCAGCAGAGGTGTTACTCCTTGTACAGATATATGTCTAAATGGCAAGATTTTTTCACTGTCCAGGCTTCAAACCTTGTTTGGGGTGGTTCTCCCAAGGGAAAACAGAAGCAAGGGTGATGTTTTCCACAGATTAAGTTGGTACCAGTATCTGTCTGCAGTCCACTCATCGTTTTTTCCCCTAAATGTCCCCTCAAGGCTAGATGCATTGATGCATTGTCTTTAGTGAAACTACTAATGCTTTTTAACTATATTCTCTTACAAGCAAGTTTGGCCTGGTAAACCAGTGATCATTGTTACCTACACTGGAGTCAGTGGGAGTATGTAGGTGATGTGTACATCCCCGAGTAAGCTTTGTCCTGGGAGAGGAGTCTGTCTTGCTTGGGATGCAATAACCCCTTTATGTTTGCAGGCGGGGGCCTTTGTGCTGGATCCCATGTGTGGGCTAGGAACGATACTGCTGGAAGCTGCCAAAGAGTGGCCCGTGAGTATCACAGCCGCAAGAGGCAGGACCTTTGCAAGACGGCTTGTAGTTGCATCAAGAAAAATCTGTCGCGCAGTTATACCAAGGTCCATTACTGGAAAGCTGGAACCAAACTGATCTTTCTAGGCAGTTGCTAAAAGTGTTTTAGTACAAACTTTCCTCCACAGGAATGTGAAACCAAGTTCTACGTGCAGGTGGGTGCTGTATCAGTATAAATCAGTAGTAGAGGCAGCGTGGCTGTCTGTAGCTAGCTAGGATCTTGTTGTTAGGACATAGCCTCAATACTTCTGTAAGTTACAAGTGTCTTGAGCAGAACGTGAAAGCAGTGAAGACAGCACAGGCTTCCCCCATTCTTCCGTCCTCTGGGTCTAGGTGTTGCTCTGTGTAGCGGTAGTAGATCGCCCAGCAAGGGGTTTGTCCTGGAAGAGCCGTTCTTCCAACAAGGCAGTTCTGAGAAGGGTTTATGAAATAAATAGACCTGTTTGTCAACCAAATGGCTTTTCTCTTTTTCTCTGAACAGGAAGCCTGTTACTGGGGTGCTGATATAAGTGATTCACAGCTGGAGGGTGCAGCTGTGAATATTAGGACTGCAGGCTTGATGGATAAGATTGAGTTACTTAGAGCTTCTGTGAAAGGTGTGTCTGTAGGCTTTCCAAGTGAGACGTTTGAAGTTTCTTGTGGTTCTGGGATTATACCGGTAGTATAGGTTCTCTTGGGGGGGATGTGTAGTAGAACTAACTCCCAGCAAATAGCTGAGTAGCGACTCTGTAGTGCTAGCAAACGGATAATTATTTGTTCTCCTGCTCCCCCTGCCCCCCTGAACTTTGGCAAGAATAAACTTGGCAGAAGACAATGAAAATAATAATTGTCAGACATGGGCAGTAGTTGTCTGTCTTAATGGTAAATGCGTGAATACCACAAAGAGTACATACCATGTGAGAGGTTTTTTTTATGTCTCAGGAAACACAGCAAGGACAAATCCAGATAAAATGTGGCTTAAATGTACCAAATGAGTAATAGTGGGGACTCATTAAGCTCAGTGTTGAATTGTTAATGTTTTGCAGTAGGTGTATTTTAGATGACGATGCCTTTTTCCTGGAGAGGGAATTTGTTTGCTCTCAGTTCATGAGCTAGTCTGGGGAAAAGGTAATAATTTTATGACCTTATTCTGGGCCTCAAAGCCCGAGTCTAAATTAGTCCTTTATGAAATTAATGACAGACGAAAGCTGGGTGTTTTTCCCTGTGCATGGGTGATGAAGCGTATGCATATTTTCTTACCTTGCAATGTCTACTTCTTACCAGAATGGTAAGAAACATTACTATTTCTTTTTCTGTAAGAATATAGAGAGCGAGCTTTATTTCTTACTTAAAAGCTGCGGCTGGCCCCGGCTTCTAGGGTAATGGAAGGTACTTTGATGTCAAGCTTTTCTAATACTGAACAAGTAATTGGTGTCTTTGTCGCTGGTCAGAAGCTGTTACTT